TGTCGGAGGGGCACASGGATCGCCTCCACTCGCATTTCCATTTCCGGTGCGGCAGCCACTGTCACCACCCGCTGGCCCGGTGGCAGCTGCGATCGATGCGGTTCCGTCGGTCCGGTTTTGCTGCGCCGGATCTCTCCCCGCCTTCGGCTCCACCGGCTGCTCCCGCGATGGTGGGGGGTCGTGTTGGCGCTCCGGCAACCCAGGCTTCTTTAGTTTCGCGGCCTCTCGCTCGTCGCCGATCGCCCGGCTCCAGGCAATGTCGAGGCTCGCCATCGACGCGGGCTTGTAGGCTTCCGCGAGCGCGTGGGGGCAGCAAAGGGTTTCGGAACCGTGCGCGTTGGTCCGGTGGTCCGCCCGCGGGGGGCGCTTGCTCCCGCTTCCGAAGAGGGACGCCAGCGTTCGGAACTGGTTCTGCTCGGCCGACGTCATGGCCTTCATCTTTTGCTGCTCGTACCGGTGTTTCTTCTGGGCGTTCAGGACGGCCCTCCATCCCTCGGCGATCCGGCGGTAGCGCGTTCTGCCGATGGCTTCCGTGCAGTTCTCGCATCCCCGGGCACAATGACCAAGCGTTTCCCCCGGCTTGGCCAGCGACGAGGCATCGCCCGTTTCGCCCTTGTTCTCCTTTTCCTCTTTCCCGGCCGGTTTGTTCGTCGGATACATTGGCTCGTAGGGAGAAAACGGCAGTGAGAGCACTCCGTTGTCGATCATCCGCGCCGTATCCTTTCGGTCTCGCTTGAAGGACCTGAGGTCGTCAAACGTGTACCATGTTGCAAGGCGTTCCTCGTTTGTAAATTCCGATCTGTGTATGGTGTCGCGAACGCGAACAAGAGGGTTGCTGCTGATGGTTTTGTTGCTGTAGTTGTAGTTGTAGTTGTAGTGGTTGTTGTCCTTGCTGTTCCCCTGTGGATTGCGGTTTGGGAACTTGTTGGGCTGCCCCGAAGCATCGCAGGTGTTGTTGTCGTCGTCGTTTGTCGGAGACGAAGACGAAGACGAAGGCCTTGCGAACGGAATGGGTCCGGACGGGAAGGTAACCCGGCGGTGAGTCCTCTGTCGCTTTCCGCAGCTCTTGATGCTGCTATCCCCGAACCCGTCGTCGTGGTTTCTGCCGCAGCTTCCGGGTGAGCAACAGGCGTTGTTTCTCGGCGCCTTCCAGGGCAAGCCGTCTCGCGGTGCTGTTTTGAGCGGGTGGGAGAAGGGCATCCAAGATCCCTTGTCGTAGTTGGGGGAGTTGGTCTCGTGGTCGACGTTCCCGTTCCCGTTGTCGTCTTGTTGCTTCGCTCCTTTTCCGGGCGGCAGTGGCAATGTCTGATTTCCAAKGAGAGAAGCAGCTGGATTCGTAGTGGTGTCGYGATTGACAATCTGGCAGTTGCKTGCTTCGCCTTCTTCGTCGTCCAGTGCTATGTCTTCTAGCACGACGTCTTGCAGCAAGGCGTCGTCTTCGTCGTCTTCTTCGTCGTCGTCGCTCCCGGAATCTTCTTCCATCTCGAGAAAGGGAGCGATGCGTTCCATGGCAACCCGGGCCGAGTACCGGTGGGAGGGAGACAGCGGGGCGAAGGACGACAGGGACGAGAGCGGCGCCGGYGGCTGCCGCGGAGGGGGACACACCGTCGCGTCCTTCTCCGTTGCCGGTTCTGCAGCGACAGCCGCAGCTGCAGCAGCAGCGGGGGGTTTTGGAGAGAGGGCACCGGAGGCGCCCGTCGCGCTGCTTCCGTTTCCGTTGTTGTTGCTGCCGTTGTTGCCGCTGTACTCCGCTGGGCAGAGCGCTACCAGCACGCCGGAGGGAGGCATTCTCGAGAGTCCCGCGTTGCGTATCGTGCCAACTGCGTGGTGTCGTGCTCTATCGGATTGCAGGGGAGAGATGGGTGGCGCACCAATCGAACGGATCGATTTGTTTCGTTTCGTTTCGCTTCGCTTCGATTTGACTCGACTCGACTCGACTCGATTCCAAACCTTGACTCGTTGCTTGCTGCTTCTTGCCTCGATCCAAGTTCCTTCTCTCTTGCTCCAACCGATCCGTGTCCGACAATCTACAATAGTAATAGATGGAAAGCGATGGGAGATCCTGCACCGTAGCCGACTCTGTAGCGACAATGTATCGGAGGGTTGCAACGCTGCACTGCAAAACGATGGGGTTCTTGCTCGGATCGAGATTCGAGAGAGATACGCAGCGAGAATTTTTTTGGAACGGACCCACACACAACACACAATACACACACACACACACTAACTCGGTCATCAGAAATCATTACTTCTTCTCCGCCCCTGYGCTCGCAGAAACGGCGGCATCGCAAACTGTACGTACGCATACTACCGTACCACTTGTACCGGGCGAAACGTGCTGTGGGAGAAACGTTGCGTTGAAAACAAAACCCTAGCGTAGCGTTGGTGCGTTTTGCAGGGATTGAACTTTTTGGTTTTTAGGGTGCATCGTCATCTGTGCTATTGCTATTTTTCACAGAGTATCGAACTTCGGTATCCTATGGTACGAGTACTCGTACCGTACTTGCCCGTATGTGCGAGTGAACAAGCAGAGGAGGTGCGCATACGCACTCGCGGATTGGTCATAAAAACACATGCTACGGTGAGATCTGATTCGGTCCCGAGAAGAAATGGATTCGTAGAATCGATTCTTCACGAAGGATCCAAACGAATGAAAATCTTGCGCCGATTCACAACTATACCTAAACGGCCGAACCGAACGAAACGAATACAGTACGGTACCTGTTTCCGATGCGATCGCACCGTCTTGTGTTACCTAGTTAGAAAAGTGAACGCCTTTCGGGGCTTAATCAAATCGTCTTCCGCGACGCAATTCATGGTAGGAGTGCCGGCACTCCACGTTTTTACTGAACAGTTAGGATCTCGGCCTCTCTTTTTCTTCGGTTTCGACGGCGATTCGCTCGCTGTTGCAGCATGATGCTGCGACGGAACGATCCTGGCGTCGAAGCTTCGGTGTGTGCGGGGCCGCGGATGGCGTTTGGGTTCCATCCCGGACAGTTAGAGCAAACCCCCCGTTTCCTCGTCGCAGTCTCCGCTCCCGTTTCCGTCCGTGTCGAGATCGGGAAGCAGTGGCTCGCTCGGGAGGCCCCGGGAGAAAGGGCCCTGCGTTGCACCGCCCTCGGCCCCTCCCCGGCGTTGGTGCGAGAACGAGCCGGGGCCCGTTCTGCGATCGCTGCCGTGGCAGTTTCCCAATGGAGAAGAAAAGGGAGACAGCAGCCAATCCCCCAGGGAGCGCCCCCGGTTCGAGGCAGAAGGAATGCGGTGGCCGCTTCCCCCACCGCCGGCCGGACCGGATCGCCCTTTCGCGGCCTCGGTCTCCCACGCAATCTCCTCCGGGAGGTCGGCCGGTGGCGCCGCGCCGTACGTGCCCCGCACGCTGTGTTCCTCCTTCCACTCGTGGAGCAAAAAGCGGGAGGAGCTGACCCTGCGGTGGTGCCGGGTCACGAACGCCTGCTGCTGCCTCTCTCGGTGGGGGCGGGGGCTCGTGCCACTGGTGGACACGGGAAAGGGCGACGCCCGGACGCCGGCGCTCTCCTCGGCGGTTGTTGCGTGGGGCTCCCCCTCCGAAGTACCGCCGCGATTGCTCTCGAATCTTTGTGATTCAAAGGCACCCGCGGCTCCCCGCCCCTTCTCCTTTCGTTCCGATCGGTTGYCGGCTGTCGCCAAGCGATCTGGTTCGTTGCCATGATTTTCCCCTTTTTCTCGACCASTGGTGGTTCTGGTTTTGTTGGCAGGTGTTTCTGAGTTTGTATAGCACAGCGAGCTGGTATCCATAGCGCTATCGATCAGCTCGTTGAATTCATTGGCCGTCATGGACAGGTTCAAAATCGTTGCGGGTGGTAGAAAAAGCGAGGTTGTCGTCTCCATGGTCAATGTTCTCTGGTGCCGTCTCGAGCGTCCGTGAGKTTTGTCACGCGGCAGAAAATCMGGCCTCTCTCTCGTATCGTCCTCTGGTCTGTCGAAAACAAACAGATTACCGCCCACGTCCGTTGCCCTCGTCCTTGCTTTGCTACGATTTGCACCAAGTTCCTCGTAGTGGCGAGAAAATGAATCACAGTCTTCGACACGGTCGTGTTTCGAGCCAGAGTTGGAATCAGAAACAGCAGGTGTCTCCAACGACAATTCCATTTCGGGTTCGAGTCCTTTGAATATCACCGAAGAAGTCGTTCCGTCGTGATTACTGTGTTCGCTCTCATGGACACCCTCATAAAAAGTGTTTCCGTTCACTTTGCCGTTGCCGTTTTCGATGCGATGCTTTGGATTCTCCCAGCCATCATCCTTCGATGGCTCCCCCTCGMCACCGTGGAMAAGGCCTATTGGCGAAGCGATATTCGATCGSCTTTGTTGGTGTTCGCGATCGCAGCTATCATTGTTGTGGTTTTGGCTRMGCTGGTGWTGTGCTGATGGCTGCATCCGCCGCTGCCGCTTGCGTGATCGGTTGTACTGGTTCGTCACGGCGGTGTTCCGTCGCTGGGAATGGTGCGCCCGAATGACGAGGCCTGCGTGAAGGCCATGAGGCAGCAAATCCAGTTGCAGGGACTCTGACAGCACATTCTTTTCGCCCATGGCACCCGTGTGCAGTACCAGCCTGCCAAACGCCGAAAGCGGAACCACGATGCTAAAAAACAGGGTGACTATCCCGAACAAAACGCATACCCACAAAAGGATGAGGTGCAAGTGCCTCTTGAAAAATTGTCGAATGGATTCGGAAGCATTCTCGCTGTCAAAAAAGACATTGCCCCCCCCGACGATTAGTTGTGTCACAAAGAGCAGAAACCACAACAAAAACATGTAGAGCGAGGCCACAAACAACCTAGGCGACAAAGTCGTCACGTATTGCCCCAGGGAACTCCGCAGCAAACAATGAGCATTTGAGTCCGATATAGCCGACACCACATTCCAGGTGGTAAATGTGGCTAGTATCCCCGAGATGGTTACACAAATGTTCAGCAACAAGACGAATCCTATCCAAAAGGGAAGAAAGCTGCGTAGTAGTTGCTGCTGCCCCATGTAGTTGCTGTCGTGGCCGTCATTGAAGAGTGACAATCGCTGTCTTAAGTTGATGAGTTCGGGCGAAGAATTGAAAAAGACGCTCATTTCTGTGGCCAGAAGCAGCGAAAGGAGGACCATTCGGGAGGAATACTGCGACGAGATGTAGGCCTTGAGATCGCTCCCCCTTGGTTTGGCCCAGGCGATGTGTTTCTGCCACAGAGCCGACTGGTCGATCGTGACGAAGTATTCCCAAGGAGTAGTTAGTAGCTGCAACGTCGGATTGTTCCTTTTCCAGAAGGACGACGACTCGGGTCTATCCTGCCGCCGACATCTGCTGCAACACGATGCCAGGCGCGAACAAAAAGGACGTGCATCGGCATGTGGGGAAAAACACGGAATCTCCCCCACCGTGGCCATTGTGTTTTCTCAGAATATTCCTCTTGGTTCTTTGTTCTATGCTGCCGGACGGTACTATTCGATGATCGAATTGCGGAGTTTATTGYTTCGAAATGTAGTCTCTCGCCGGTCAATGACAACAAACTCTGTCGTATCTCATGTTTCTGAAGTGCCAACAAAAAACATAAAACTCAAAATAATTTTGATACATAGATTTAGAGTTTTAGAGATTTAGAATAACGGGAATGACCCAATGTTTCTCATCTAAAAAGTACTTGTACTTTACTTTACTTTACTCGTACTACTCGTACTGGTAAGTCATTCCATGACTCTACATACGACTGGACAACAATAGTATACTTCGATCATAGTTACTTACTAAATATATGAAACATACTCACATAGCCTTTTAAAAGAATAGCTCGTCGTACTTCTAGTTTGTGGTCGTAATCGAAAGAGTCGAATACGCCCTTGTCGTCATCGTATTCGAAGGCGAAATAAAGAGACCGTGATGATGCGTCAAACTGACGAAGAAAAATTAGAAAATTGAACTTTGAAAATACTGTACTAACACTCCTCAGAAAAATGAACCTCAAAACGACGATACACGCATTGTGAGAGATTTAAATCGGAAAARAAATCCGCATAAGAAGTAACGACTAAAGGGAAACGAAACAGTACCAGCAAAATCAAAAACTTTGCGTAAGACTTTGAAATAGGAAGATAAAGGCGACTCCGTTGTCGACTAAAATAGAGGCGCGAGAATAAATACCTGACAATTCAGGTGGAATAGCGGATCGTATCGCAACAAAAATATGTCGAGGAAGAACCTCCACTTCTTCATTGGATTCCTTGTGTGCCTGGCAATCAAAGGTAATTRCCATGTGGTCGGATTTTCCACAACAACGTTATCTCCTTTGCWACCAAAAACAATAATGCCGTCATCGAAGAAAACCACAATACGAATCGTCCCCGACGAGCGCTCTGTTTTGTCACAACTATTTTTGAGTAGCAAAGAAGACACGGTGTCCACTCCATCCGATTCTAACAGAARCAGTTCGAATGAAACGACCCTTCCTTCCGAGTATTTCGAACCTTCCGCGTCACCTGCGATCCGCGATTCTGCTGCAACCAGGGAAACGGAAGYCGGAGGCATCCGAGAAATGCTCAAAAACAGTGTTTTTCTGGGCATCGATCCGACACCGGATGTGGTGGCGATTGCCACCATCTACTTTGTAGAAGGGGCTCTGGGCTTGGCACGATTGGCCCARAMATTTTTGCTGAAGAATGAGCTCCACCTGGGTCCGGCGGAGCTGAGCGCGCTGACGGGAGTTTTTACGCTCCCCTGGACAATAAAACCGCTCTACGGATTCCTGTCAGATGGCTTCCCCCTCTTTGGCTACCGGAGGCGCTCTTACCTGGTCCTGGCAGGCATGACGGGGTGTCTCTCGTATTCTGCTGTCGGCAGCAACTTCTGGGGCTTATTGGGAGACGAGATCTCCCTGACCACCACCGTAGCGGCCCTGGTTGTCAGCAGCGCCTGTATCGCGGTCAGCGACGTGGTGGCCGACGGAATCGTCGTCCAAAAGACGCGGGAATCGGCTGACACCGATCCCGCCCTGGCCGGGGGATTGCAGAGTTTGTGCTGGGGGAGTGCTGCCTTGGGTGGATTGCTCTCGGCTTACTTTTCTGGTTCGCTGCTGGAAGTCATGAAGCCCCAGGASGTCTTTGCCCTCACGGCTGCTCTTCCCTTTTTGGTAGCCACGATTGGCCTGTTGATCGATGAAGAACGTGTGTCGGAGAGCACTTCTTCAGTCACCTCAAACAATGATGCAGTGGCAACGATAGATGGTRTCAATCACAATGATCCTTTTGCGGGTGTCAARTCACAGATCAGCYYTCTTGTGGAAGCCATCAAAAAACCAGAAATCTACAAACCGGCAGCGTTCATCTTYTTGTGGAGGTCGACACCGACGAGTGAGGGTGCAATGCTGTTCTTTCTGACGGACGACTTRGGATTCGGTCCCGAAATCCTTGGAAGAGTTAGTTTCATCGCTGCTGTTTCTTCTCTCTTCGGGGTTTTGCTCTACAACAACTACCTAAAAAGCAAAAGTRTCAAGGACATTTTGTTTTGGTCAACCATCGTTTCCTTTCCCCTCGGGCTGTTGGATCTRGTTTTGATCAGCCATGCCAATCGAGCCGTTGGAATCCCCGACACCTGGTTCGTCTTTGGGGACGACGTGGTTCTGAGTGTCCTTGGGGAGATCGCCTTTCTTCCTACCCTAGTACTGGCCGCCCGCTTGTGCCCGAAGGGAGTAGAGGCCGTCCTGTTTGCCACCCTCATGTCTATCAACAACGGTGCGGGCACGCTGGGAACGGAGGTCGGGGCTTTCCTGACGAAAGCTCTGGGGGTGACTGAGAGCAATTTTGACAACCTGGGACTCCTGAGCTTTGTGTGCAATCTGACGTCTCTCTATCCCCTTCTCTTTATCGGTTGGCTGGACGGTGTGGGCTCCGTCTCGGAACAAGAGATCGAAGAGGAAGCAGCTGCCGCAGCGGCGGGTGCCATCGATACCGATGCGGTCTGAGTGCGGTATACGGTACAGCATAGTATTCTTTTTGTTGAATTGCTGTCCGATTTACAGGTAGAGAAGATAAGATCGTGATCCAAACCGTAAACCGTGTGGTGTTTCTTTCTCTTTCTTCGAATACTAGACTGAAGTTTTTGACAGAAAGTGTCTGGTGTCGACAAGTACTATAAATTTTACTCTGAGCGACACGAGTATGTCATACGAACAAATTCTATTGTACTGTATGCAATGACGAGCAAGCTGTAGACTGTAGTTTGATGTGCCCTGTGGTTCAATGAGGCAGCGTTTTGATAGTCGGTTTGTAGGATAGAGCTCCATGGCCTCAGCTGAAGTATTTCTACTGAGGAAGAAATGGATGTACTTCTCTCGTAAAACAACACATCGTTTCGGCAAAAATATGCTCCTTGAAGAAGCTGATCAGTTTGAAGACATGCACTGACAATAAGAGAATTCAGAAGCTGTTATCTGGTATAATAAATTGTGACTAGTTTTATTTAAAGCAGCAAGACAAGCTAGCTCCCGTCGATGCACAATCCATWGCGAATTCAGCCAATCRGACAGAACTGAAATTGGTCATGCCACTACCGCAAAGGATTTAYTCTGAAGGAGGTTCGTATGCCGAGGTGAATTCTTCGGCGCACTTGGCGAGCTCGGCCTCGACATCGTCAGGGAGAGCGTATCCAGCATCAACGATCTTTTGCATCACACCAGAGTGTGCTGTCTTCATGTGTGTGAGCCATGCMGACTCAAAGTCTTGGACRTTTTCGACAGGGACGCGATCACAATATCCCTTGACACCGATGTAGAGGGAGGCGACGACCTCTTCGGGTTCTTGAGGTTCATATTGTCCTTGCTTGAGAAGTTCGTAAAGACGAACACCACGGTTCAATTGCTGCTGGGTGGCGGCATCCAAATCGGAACCGAATTTGGCGAAGGCAGCGACCTCACGGTACTGGGCAAGTTCGAGCTTCATGGTACCGGCAACGGCCTTGGTAGCCTTGTACTGAGCGGCGGAACCGACACGGGACACAGAAAGACCAACAGAAATGGCGGGACGTTGACCTTGGTAGAAMAGTTCGGATTCCAAGAAAATTTGTCCATCGGTAATGGAAATCACGTTGGTAGGAATGTAGGCGGACACATCTCCGGCCTGGGTCTCAATGACGGGAAGGGCGGTGAGGGATCCTCCTCCAAGGGCGCTGTTCATCTTAGCAGCGCGTTCCAAAAGACGGGAGTGGAGGTAGAAAACATCACCGGGGTAGGCCTCACGACCAGGAGGACGACGAAGCAACAAAGACATTTGACGGTAGGCAACRGCCTGCTTGGACAAATCATCATAGAAGATCACAGCATGCTTTCCGGAGTCACGGAAGTATTCTCCCATGGCGGCACCGGTGTAAGGGGCAAGGAACTGAAGAGGGGCAGAGTCGGAGGCGGTGGCGGCAACAATGATGCAGTTGTCCATGGCATCACGTTCATCGAGCTGTCCAACAAGTTGGGCAATGGTCGATCGCTTCTGTCCAACACCAACGTAGATRCAGGCGAGTGGTTCCTTCTTGGTCTTCTGGTTGATAATAGTATCGATAGCAATGGCGGTCTTTCCAGTTTGACGATCACCAATGACCAACTCACGCTGTCCACGTCCAATAGGAATCAGGGCATCGACGGCCTTGAGTCCGGTAAGCATGGGTTCGGAAACAGATTCTCTGGGGATGATACCAGGAGCCTTGGCCTCGGCACGCGAGCGCTTGAYCTTGTCGAGGGATGCACCTCCATCGATGGGCTGTCCAATACCGTCAACAACACGTCCGAGAAGTTCGGGTCCGACGGGAACATCGACAATAGCTCCGGTACGRGTGACGTTGTCACCTTCCAAAATGTCACGATCATCACCGAAGATGACCACACCGACATTGTCCTCTTCCAAGTTYAGAGCCATACCACGGAGTCCGCAGGCAAAGACAACCATCTCTCCGGCTTGAACATTTGAGAGACCGTAGACACGGGCGATACCATCTCCAACGGAGATGACGGATCCAGTCTCGGCGTATTGCACGGAGGTATCCTCGGCACCGGCAGCAGCGCCGATCTTGGCCTCAAGAAAGGAGGAAAGTTCCAAGGTCTGGCTAGCCATTCCTCGGGTTGCCGCCCGACGGGCAGTCTAAATGGATTCAATAGAAACAAATTTCCARCATCGCGACAGAGAAGTTCGAAAATACAGATAGCAGAAGGAGTGTTAGTAACCCAAACATCATTGACGAAGAGTATTGTTGTCATGTAATGGTAGTGCTGATAGTAATAGTCGCTGTTRTTYACAAAGACCGGGRARGRAAMMKRARRRKTKSCMWKG